GACTGTTATTGCTGCGTACTCTTGCGATTCTTCCGCCTTGGGCGTCGCATTCTGTTGTTTAATTCGCGCTAATATCGTCCCTCGTAATAATAAATTTGATTAAGTCCAAGACAAAGCAAAAATTTAATTAGGGAATTCATTAAACGAAATTTATCTTAGCGCAAGAGCTCTAAAACATCAACTACCTGTATTCTCCAGAAGCTCGAACTTCGCAAAAGTTAATTGCATCCCTTGCGAGATGTCAAAACTCGCAGCCGTTCTTTGTGTCGCATCCCCAACAAAGAACTTAACATTAAGGTACGAACGAAACCGATTTATGCAGTTCTGTGTAATAATAATAATTGCGGACAGCGTGTAACTTTTGTCAACAATTTATGCTGAAAGCGCGCATGCTGGTCATAATTTTATATTAAATTCAGGAAGGGTTACACCATTTAAATCAATTTAGCTAATTTGGACCCTCACGTACCCGGCTCGAGATTTTTTCCGGGAGAAATTAATCCGTCCCGGAGGTAATACGGGTTACTTTATTACCCCATTTGATGGCTCCGATCTGGCTCGGTGCAACCGTTCCATTGAATATTTCCTCAACGATTCGTATAAATTATGGCCATTATCTGCGTGAGAATGTGCGTGATATCCTACATTGTGCGTGAACGTCTACAGCAAAATAAATAAACTGGAGTGGTTGGGAACATCTGCTTTTGCGATCTCTGACTGCGGCTTAATTATATTTAGGCTTTTGGAGCTTGCGCGCTCACGCATTATCAAATTGTTGCTTTTTCAGCGACCGCTTGTCTTCCCACACGCACTAATTATTAATTATTAACATGAAATCTACAGGTGTGGTCGACGTTGTTGATTTGGTAAAGGCCGGTGGAGCTCGTTCATGAAATTATTTTCATTTATAAAAAAAAACTCAACACGGATTCATAAACCACAAATATAGGACTTACAATACATCTTAGCTTACGCTCGGGAAGTAGAAAATTAGCTTAATTAGAATAACCCACCATAATCCACCAAGCTTTCGAACATTGTATTAGCCGTATCGACCTGCCAATTTTCATTTTGTTAAAAATGCATCCACGTAGTGTTTTTCTTTTAAAATGGTTACTTTCGCGATACGAACGAATCACAAACAAGCAATAACAGTGAACAAAGAGATTCGTTTCGGAATTTGTGTATTCTGCTTGACACATTTCGCTCGGGGCTAAAAATTTTACTCGAAACATAAAAATGCAAATTGACGGCAGATACACTCTAAAATATTATACGTTTCGCAGATTTGCGCTGCGACGGAGCAATTATTGAGGTTACAAGAGTGCATATGCAAATTGCACGGTTATTGCCGGCTTGTGCAGCGCAGGCACTCACTCTCTCAAAGGCACTGGCAATTGTATTCGAGAGCTTTGATTCCTTTTCTTGCTAATGTAATCAAACCAACATTACGGGCCTTTGTAGGCGGAGCGTGCAGAGAAACAAACCGCCGAAACCATTTATTTGGGTATGGCTGCGGATTATCGGATTGAATAGATTTCTTCGAACAATACGACTAATTTGTGGCGGATACAGTGCAGGAGTGCTTACGGAGAGAAGAGAAACAAAACATATTTGGACCCGGGAAGCGGAATCTGAAAATACGGAAGAGGCTTTTTCGTCGAATTGTATAAGCGCAATAAACGGTATAAATGCCGGAATCACGGGAAACTCGCCCCTAGTTCCGTATTGTCAAAGTGTTTTACGATGACATCACCGGTTGGAAGAGTGGGGGAATAGGACGAGCATTTGCACTGGACACTATATCTTATTATGCTGCGTGTACTATAATTTTCACAAAAACTGTGTAACATTATTTTTGATGATGCAAACCTCGGCACGTAGTTGCCAGAAGTGGTGAAAAGCGGTAATAATTGCCAAATGCAAACAAGCCCATGTTAATCATCAATATTGATTGTTAAAACAAACACTGTAAAATTTAAAACCAATAGACCGTACATAACAACAACAGTGAAACGTGAGCACAATAAAAATGCAAGCGTGAAAATTTAACGAATCAACTCAGTTGTAAAAACACGCAATATATGTGTCTACTATTATGGAAAATAACACGACTCTTGCAATTTTTTCCTGTATAAAAAGATATATGTTTTTTTATTGAATGTCTTTTCAAATGTGCAGAATCCATGGATGTTTGACGGGGACTGATAATAATGAATTTATAATCCACCTAGAATTCGCTCTATCAGCTTTTTTTTAACGATTTTTTCTAGATTTGCTACAAGCTGCAACAAAACAATTATATATGAACTAGTACTTTTTTTATAAGAAAAAGCCGAGTATTGCTCCTTTTTCAATATTTGGATTTCTCAATTTTTCAGTTGTTCGATTTTTTTATTTTTCAATTTTTCGAATTTTTTAATGTAAGATTTTCCAATTTTTGCTGTTCGACGTGTCGGTTTTAGATTATAGATTATAGTTTTTCAGTTCTTAGGTTTTTGAAATATTTGAAATATTCAATTTTCCGATTTCTCGATTTTTCGATTTCCCGATTTCTTGACATCTCGGTTTTTCCATTTTTAGTATTTTTCGACAGTTCAGTTTCGATTTTTTAATATTTTTGTTTCCATTTCTCGATTTCTCGTTTTCTTGACTTTTCAGTTTTTCCATTTTCCAATCTTTCGATTTTTCGATTTTTTTAAATTTAAAATTTTTCAATTTTTAATTTTTCATTCGGGTTATTTCGAGTTCTCGGTCTTTTCATGTTTCGATTTCTCGCTTTATCGATTTTTAGGTTTTTGGATTTTCCAATTTTTCAATCGATTTATTTTTCAATTTTTCTCGTTTTGATTTTTGGATTTTTCGGTTTTTTAATTTTTCGATTTTTCAGTTTTTTTCCCATATGATTAGATATAAGATTTTTAATTGAATGCCACTTGAAATATGCAGAAAAATGAATATATGCACATGTAGTCCACCTAGAATATACTCTATCAGCAATTTCTTATAATTTTTGACGAACTCTTCTAAATTTGCTACAAGCCGTGACAAAATTAATGTGACAATTTATGAAAAATTATCAATGAGCTATTTAGTAGATTTTTTTGTATGAGAAAAAGCCGAATATTACTCCTTTTTTCCAAAATTTTTGATTTCTCTAATTTTCAGTTCATCGATTTTTCAATTTTTCCAATTTTTTTATTTAAGATTTATCAATTTTTTGCTGTTTCGATTTCTCGATCATTGGCTTTTTCGATGACTCGGTTTTAGATTATTTAGTTTTTCAATTTTTCGATTTTTAAAATATTTTGATTTTTCGAATTTTGAATTTTTACATATTTTGTAGTTTCGATTTCTTGATTTTTCAGTTTTTCAATTTTTGGATATCTCGATTTATGAAGGTTTTGATGTTTCGATATTTTTCGATTTTTCCATTTTAAAGTTTTTCGACATTTTGGTTTCGATTTTTAGTTTTTTTGTTTCAATTTTTGGATTTTTCATTTTGCAGTTTTTGGATTTTCAATTTTTCAATTTCTCGATTTATTGACATTTCGATTTTTCGGTTGTTCAATTTCCCGATTTTTCAATTTTTCGATCTATCGAGTTTTTTTTAGTTTAAAAGTGTTAAATTTTCAATTTTCCGTTAGGGATATTTCGATTTATCGATATTTTAATGTTTCGATTTCTCGATGTTTCAATTTTTCAATTATTGGATTTTCCGATTTTTCGGTTTTTGGATTTTTCGGTTTTTCGATTTTTAGTTTTTTCGAACTTTTCATGTTTTGATTTCTCGATGTTTCAGTTTTTCAATTATTCGTTTTTTCGATTTTTCGGCTTTTCGATTTTTAGATTTTCCAATTTTTTGATGTTTCGAAATTAATTACTGGACATTTCAGTTTTCATATTTTTCAGTCTATTTTTCAATTTTTCGATTCTTTAATTTCGATTTTATAAATTTTAGATTTTCCGATTCTCGATTTTTTGATTTTTTGGGTTTTTCGATTTCTTAAATTTTATATTTTTCGATTTTTAATTTTTTTTATGTTTCAATTAATCGATTTCTCGTTTTCTTGATTTAGCAGTTTTTCAATTTTTCGATGTACCGATTTATCGATATTTCGATGTTCCGATTTTTCGATTGTTCAATTTCCCAATTTTTCAATTTTTCGATTTTTTGATTTCTCGATCTTTTCATGTTTTGATTTCTCGATGTTTCAGTTTTTCAATTAGGTATTCGTTTTTTTCGATTTTTCGGCTTTTGGATTTTTAGATTTTCTTATTTTTCAATGTTTCGAAATTAATTTTTGGACATTTCAGTTTTCGTATTTTTCAGTTTTTCGATTCTTCAATTTCGATTTTATAAATTTTAGGTTTTCCGATTTCTCGTTTTTTTGATTTTTCGGCTTTTCAGTTTTTCAATTCCTTAAATTTAAATTTTTCGATTTTTCAATTTTACTCAAGATTTTTTGATGTTTCAATTTTCAGTTTTTCCAGTTTTCGAATTTCCGATTGCTCGAAATCGCGGTTTTTCATTTTGAAAATTTTTCGACTTTTTAATTTCGATTTTATAAATTGTGGATTTTCCAATTTCTCGATTTTCCGCTTTTTCAATTTTTCAGTTTTTCTATCAAATTAAATATTTTTCGATTTTTTCAGTTTTGGGAATTTTTCAATTTTTCGAAATTTTAATTTTTCCTTTTTTTAAATCTTAGATTTTTCGATGTTTTTACGTTTCGACTGCTCGATCGACCTTTCGGATTTCAGTTTTTGGATTTTTCAATTTTTCAACTTTTTTTGGCGATTTCTCGATTTATAGACACCCCGATGTTTCAGTATTAATAAAAATTAGGAGTATTATGATTGTTCAAAGCGGGATTTGTAGGATTGAACTGCAGGGGCGTGTGAATTTCTGTCGAAATTACTTTGGACCAATTTTTTTGGAATTGTGTAGGTAGGGAAAATTTTCACAAACAAAGAAATTTGTATATGTTCACTGGTACTTTATTTTTTAGGCGGTTGAGTTCTTATGTAGGTGTTATGTCTTCGCAGTACTTGAACTAACGTTTCCTTCAGGGTTTGAGGCTTGCAATATTCCTCCAGCCAGCCGAACACTCCAGCCGACAATTCCGAAAAGTTGCTCACAGAAATGTTACTGAACGTGAAAAATAGGTGCTCCATAATGGCTTGCAGCTAAAACATGTAACTCACGCTTTGTTTCTCACCTACAAAAAAAATACCACAGAAAATTTAACTTCGTCGGAAATTCTAGTTTCCGTGTGTCCAGGCTGGGTCTGCTGAGCTTTGACTATTTGCTCGTAATTAGTTTGCATAATTCTCAACGCCACGACCTCCCTCCTCAAAGCATTCCTTTCCTCCTCCTGCTTCTTCTTCTGAAGTTCCAAATACTGAATGTAGTCTATGGACTTCTGCAGGACGTTCGCCTTGCATAGTTTATAACCTTGTCGGAGAAAGGTAAATAGCACTAGATAAAAAAGAAGTAGAAGGAAGGAAAATACCAGAAACGTCGGTTTGTTTGCAAGCTGGCACCAACTCCTGCAATGTATCAAAACCCTTCTTAATCGCGTCTCTCCTTTTTTGCTCCGCCTGAGTGTGGGCTTCGCGGCGTCGCTCTTTGTAACTCATTGATGAAGGTTTGCTTTCGGTTTCGTCTTCGTCATCTGCGAAGCGTCAGTGGCTAAGTGTGGCTTGAAAAAATTTACCTGAATTACGGGATGAAAAGTTTCCCGGGTCGATAGGGCATCTCGTAAACGAGTGATCTCGCGACATTTTCCAACGCACTTGAAGAACTGGGAATTTTTGTGGCGAAATTACAAAAAGTGGCTACTATCTAATCAAATCATCCGCATATCTAAACGTGTGGTTTCACTTAGAGACGTGTATTTTTGACAACTAGTAATGTCACGAGGATTATTTTTATCCAGCCATATGCTTCCCAGTTTGTTAATCAGTAAACAGGCTGTAAAATTAATAATTTAGATGCAGCAATGATTGATTTCTATCATTTTCACGATCTTAAATGTGATAGTAGTTCCAAACCTGAATAATTTCATCGACTTACTGGCAATAATTTTCGCATAATCTGAATTTCTTGCTTTGGTACTTGTTTCCCGATTCACCACTCGACACGAAATGTTTTTTATGGATTCCATTTTCTGATGTGATGTGAAAACGCACTTTCTTGTTTTAAATTTAAAGACGGTGTAATCAGTCGCGTTATTTCTTCCGCGTTCTTCTTAATACTGGGACCTGAAACATGGTCATTACCCCACACCCCTACCAAGAATTTGCGTTGGATGACCTACTTTAAGATTTCCAAGAAATCAGTCGACTGATCTCTTCCTCGAGACATAGGTGGCCGGTTTTTTCGGTTCGGTGTGGTGTCTGGTGTGTGGACCGTAATTTCGTTTTCGTTTGAGTGAGGATTTGTATCAATCGCGATTAAAGATTTGCAAGATATGTTAAACGTGCAAAGAACAAGGTACGACGTAAATTTTAGTATAAATAGTAAATGTTTCATATAAATTTACTAACAGATTTTTGGAAAAAAATATTAAAATTGTATAACAAAATTTTATAATTTAACTTTGGAATTGCAAAATTGAATCCTTTGAATATTGCAAATGTTTTAAGGTTATAGGAAGTACGGTAAACCCTCAAGAAACTTTTATCCGTTCAGGCCCCCACTCCGCAAGAATTGATATCATTCTATAATTTTGTCGACTAAATGTTATTTTAAATGTTGGAAAGTAACACAGTTCTGAACTTGTGGTTAGACATAATTTTTCGAATTTTAGATTTTTCAGTTTTTCGATACTGTTTTTTCAGTTTGTTGGTTCTTCAGTTTCTGGATTTGGTTTTAGTTTTTGACTTTTAAATATTTAGATTTTTTGATTTTCCATTGCTCGATTCCTCGACTTTTCGATATTTCGAGTTCTGGAAGTCTCGATTTCTGGATCGTTCAATTTTTTGATTTATGCGTATTTCAGTTTCCAACCTTTTCAAAATGTATTTCGAATTTTCAATTTTTCGAATTTTTATTACGATTTTTCGATTTTTTTGCTTTTTGGATTTTTGAATTTTTCTTTATTTTTAAATTGTAAGTTTTTAGATTTTTCGGTTTTTCAATTTTTCGATATTGTAGTTCTTCGATTTATCAATTTTTCGGATTTTTAAATGTTGGACTTTTCGACTTTTCGTTTTTTGATTTTTCAGTTTTTTGATTTGTACATTTTTCGATTTTTCAAATTTTCTGTTTTGCAATTGTTTTGACTTCTCTATTTTTAAGTTTTTAATATTCAGTTTTTCGTTTCGTTTTTCAATTTCTTTATTGTTTACGTTTTAGATTTTTCCATTTTTCGATTTTTGAAAAGTTTGCAATTTCCCAATATCACAATTTTTCGATTTTTCTATCTTTGGATTTTTCGTCTTCTCGTTTTAGATTTTTCGGTTTTACAATTTTTCGATTTTTTAGTTTTTCTTTTTCTCGATTGTTCAGTTTCCGAATTTTTCAATTTTTCAATTTTTCTATTTTTCCATTAATTTATTAATTTGTTTGAGTTTAAAATTTTTCAGTTTTTCAAGTACCTATTAATTTTTCGATTTTGTGCCATTTCGATTTCTCGATCTTTCAGTTTTTCGATTTCTTGATATCTCCATTTTAACTTTTTCGACTTTTCAATTTTTCGATTTTTATAAATTTTAGATTGGCTTTTTCGATTTTTCGATTTTTGATGTTTCAATTTCTCGATTTCTTGATTTTAGATGTTTCAGTTTTTCAATTTTCGATTTTTTAGTTTTTCGATATTGTCAATTTTTCTATTTTTCCATTGTTTAATTTCCCGATTTTTCGGTTTCTCAATTTGTTTACATTTTAAAGTTGAAAATTTTTCAAGTTTTCGGTTTTATGCCATTTCGATTGCCCCATTTTTCGTATTTTCGACTTCTTGACATTTCGATTTTCAATTTTTCGCGGTTTTGATTTTTCGACTTTTCGATTTCTGGATTTGGTTTTAGTTTTTGACTTTTAGATTTTTTGATTTTTTGATCTTTCCATTATTCGATTTCTCGACTTTTCCATATTTCGAGTTCTGAACGTCTCGGATTTCATTGGATTTTTCGATTTATCGATTTATCAGTTTTTCTATGCCTATTTCAGTTTTCGAACTTTTCAATATATATTTCGATTGTTTAATTTTTAGATTTTTTGATTTTTTACTCTTCGGTTTTTGAATTTTTCCATTTAAAAAAAAATAAATTTTTAGATTTTTCGGTTTCTCAATTTTTTGATCTTTTAGTTCTTCGATTTTTCAGTTTTTTTATTTTTCGATTATTCAATTTCCCGATTTTTGGATTTTTCAATTTATCAATTTTTCGATTTATTAATTTGTTTCAATTTTTAAATTTTCAATTTTTTAAGTTTTAATTTTTCAGTTTTATGCCATTTCGATTCCTCGATTTTTCCGGTTTTAAAATTCATCATTTTTCGATTTTGGGATTTTTCAATTTTCCGAATTTTTAAATGTTGGAATTTCTATTTCTCGATCTCGTTTCTTTGATTTTTCAGTTTTTAGATTTTTAAAATTTGTACATTTTCTTTTTTGTCTGTTCTACAATTCTTTGATGTTTTGACTTCTGTATTTCCAAATTTTTTAATATTCGAATTTTTCAGTTTTTCGTTTCAATTTCTCAATTTCTTGATTTCCCGATCGTTTACTTTTGATTTTTGAAAAGTTTTTGATTTCTCAATATCACAATTTTTCGATGTCTCGATTTTTGGATCTTTGAATTTTTCGACTTCTCGTTTTGGATTTTTCGATTTTTCAATTTTTCGATTCTTTAGTTTTTCGATTTTTCAGTTTTTTTTTGGACAGTTTTTCAAGTAGACCTATTAATTTTTCGATTTTATGCCATTTCGAATTCTCGATTTTTCAGTTTTTCAATTTCTGGATTTATCATTTCAATTTTTTGATTTCTTGATTTCTCGGTTTTTACTTTTTGGATTTTTCAATTTTTAAAAATTTTAGATTATTGGATGTTTCAATTTTGCGATTTTTGATGTTTCAATTTCTCAAGAGATATTTTTTCGATTTTATGCCATTTCGATTGCTCTGTTTTTCGGGTTTTCGACTTCTCCACATTTCGAATTCCCAATTTTCCCTAATTTAGTTTTGGAGTTTTTCAATGTGAACATTTTGATTTCTCGATTTTTCGTTTTTTTGATTTTTCAGTTTTCGATTTTTAAAATTTGTAAATTTTTCGATTTTTGCGATACTTTGGTGTTTTGACTTCCCTATTTCTTAAATTTTTTAATATCTCAAGTTTTAATTTTCCGTTTCGATATTTGGATTTCTTGGTTTCTCGATTATTTACTTTTTCGATTTTTCAGTTTTATTTTCCGGTTTGTCGATTATTCAACTTTTCGATTTATCAATTTTTGTTAATTTAAAAGTTTTCAATTTTTCAAGTTTTGATTTTTCGATTTTTCGATTTTCCAATTCTTGGATGTTTCGATTTTTCAGTTTTTCAAATTCCCAATTTGTCGAAATTTCGGTTTTGTCATTTTTCAATTTCTTGATTTTTCAGTTTTTCTGTTTCTCTATTTTACGACTTTTTTTATGTTTATATTGGTAAGTTGGGAAGTCCAATTCATTATTCGATTTTTCAAATTTTTTCGATTTGGATATTTATGTCATTGGTTTTTACTTTATAGAGATTATCAGAAAATAAATGGGCTGCACTCCAGGGGCGAGGGAAGTTCCGTCGAAATAACCTTCGACCAATTTTTTAATAGTAATGTAACTACGTAATTTATCACTGTCTTTCGAGAAAGTTGGAATATTCCAACTTCCTCGCTGTCTTTTGTGAATCTGTTCACATTAGAAAATATTTTCTTTGCAATTATACATCCCGTCTTCGTATCGTCTAGGAGAATCATTTATTCAATCCCAGAGCTTCAGAAACTTTCATTTAAATCATCTCATTAATGTAAATTATTCTTCAAATTCCATTTTTAGCCTCGATTTGCCCTTCACGCTTTGACCTTTGAACTTAACAATGCTGCCTTTAATGTTGTAACTTTAAAAACAATTTTTTGTGTTCTAAATAAACATATCTATTAATTTTCAAATAAAATAGGTACACTCAGAAATGTGGGCGGCAAATTCAACAAACCATTACGATGTAAGGAACATTTTCAAGAGAAAGGACGTTTTGTGTAAATAACTTTAATAAGGAACAGACTATCGATTCGACGGTAAAAACCAAAAATCGTTTTTTTGTGGGTAATTTAATTATCGTCCAGTTTAATTAATTAAGGTATTTCGAAAACCTGCATCGAGTTGTACGCCTCGAGCAAAACGCCGGCTTTTGTGCTTTTCATGATGCCCATTGTTGCCACCATTAAAAAACAAATTATTTTAAAATAATCCCCCGAAAACACGCGCTATTTTAGTGGCGTCCTTTCAAAAGCGAAATACGTTTGCACTCTAGCCACAATGTTCTGTACGCTTTTATCCGGGGAATAGGTTTTACCCATTTCGGCACATTTTATTCAGCAAAGCGCTTTTATTTTGCACGAAGCCATATACCTTCCTCCTAATATATTTATAATGTTGGCGCAGCGCCACTTCAACAGGTCTTGCGTATTTATTTTTCATTGCTCAAGTTATTAAACGTCGCTCATTCCCAATAAGCATAAAACGACCGTTTCTTATCGACCTCTGGAGATTTATGGCGCGATAAATCCGCAATTACTGATAACATCGTTAAGCAGGTTACGGCCGCTGTCGTTTAAATTCTGGCTAAATTATTGTCTGCGCCGAGGTCGGCCTATTCGTAATTTAAGACCGCGTAATTATTGTTTAATAAAACGGGGATCTGGTTATGTGCTTTTTGAATGGGAGAAGCTCGTCTGAATTTTTTCCATTTTCGCCGTAAAATTAATTTTAATTAAAAAATAATTGCTTCGCTAAAGGCTGTGTGAAGTTGTGCGGTGCAAATTGGGAGTCCAGGAAATAAGCTAGGAATATTAAATACCGGCGGACGACTAACAAACTTCGATAGACAATTAGGATGCTTTACGAGCACGTGCGCTGACTAAAGTTCGAAAAATCGCGAAAGTAGGCAAATCAGGGGAAGAGGAAAAGGACTTTAATCGGATTCGCGGCGGGATCTGGGACAAACTTTCGGGAACAAATGCTTCGAGGGGTGCAGCTGCGACACCACCACCTATTTTGGTTTTTTATAATAAGGACGTGAGACATGGTTCTGTTGGTTTTGGAAATTTCGAAACACCACTAATTTGTGCACTCTCTAGATCCTAGATCTCCTCCTGACTCCTCAGGATTTCCGCCCGAATTTTCATGTATCAATTTTTACAAAAAAATTCCAAATAAAACCTCGCAACATAATTGTGATTGTGGTTTTATTTCCATTTCGATGTTGGACATCGCCGTAAACACTTTTTTACCTGTTACATTGACCCCCCGCCCCCCCGCCCTGTGAATCACGAACACGAAAACACACATTACTCTTCATTTTATGTCGGTCGACTTTATTGCCGGCTTTCTGCCGGACTTGAAACGTACATCGTGTCAATAATTGATCGGCGTGCCTTTTGGACTTGTTTTAGTGTGGCGCCACTGCGATGACTTTTTATCTTTCAGCTTACTTTCATAACTTGTCATATACCTTCGGCATTGATATTTCTTTCGTTCGAGGCGAGTCTCCGAGACTTCGCGCCGATGTTAAATTGCTACGATAACTGTCAGGCCAATTTTTCTCCCGATATACCTTTTTCTAATCCACTTCGTTGATGAAGATCAACAATATTGCAGGTGTTGGGAGCGGAGCGCGTCAAGTGTCAAGTGTCTTGTTCAGCAGATATGTTGCTCCATCATTTACACGCGAGGCGCCAGATCGCGTTCCGCTGAATTACTCTCCGTTTTGTCGTGTCATTAATAATAGAATTCTTAGGAAATGTTCGAGTCACGTGAGATGGGTACTCTTATTAAATCTATTAAGCAGGCTGCGAGGGAGGCGGAAACGTGGCCTAGGGGAGGAGCGCGTAATGTGGAACAAGAGACGAATTATTCGCATAGAACCCCTATTGTTTTCAAAAAGTTATGTAACTAGATTCGGCTAGATTCTAGTGAACGAGGACATCAACTTGACAAAATTTCCACAAATGTAGGAATATCGCATTTTGTAAACTTTAAATAACATTTACTATGAAATGTTTTGAGGTGACGTCATCAAATTGGTAGTGGGGATCACGCGGAAATTCTTTCAAACTACTTCAAAAACAAAACAAAAAAAGTCCCCAAGGTTCTTCCAAACTACTTCAAAAACAAAACAAAAGGGGTCCCCGAGATTCTTCCAATCTACTTCAAAAACAAAACGCGAAAGGTTTCCGAGATTTTTTCAAACCACTTCAAAACCTAGACATAAGTGGTCCCCGAGATTCTTTCAAACTTCTTCAAAATCAAAATTTTGTTTTAGAAAAAATCTGAAAGAATGTTTTTGAGGCCTTGGTGTTTATTTTTGGAAGAATTTTAAAGAATTCTAGAGCTCTTGGTGTTTTATTTTTAAATGAATTTTTAAGAAACTTTGTTAGTTTTGGTGTTCTTATTTTAGAAAAAATCTTGAAAGTTCTTGGTGTTTATATAAATTTATATTTAAGATTTTTGGAAATTCTGCCTTTTTATTTTTGAAAGAATTTTTGAATCTCTGCTATTTTATTTTAAAATGAATTTAGGAGAATTTTGTTTCTGTTTAGGAAAAAAAAGAAAAAATCCACACAACTTTGTGTTTTGTTTTTGAAAATCGAGGGACCCCTGGTTTATATTTTTGCAAAAATTTTAGAAAACCTGGTGTTTTATTTTTAATTTGTGAGAATTTCGAGGATCCTGGTGTTTTCGTTTAAAAAATCTTGATAATACTTGCCGTTTTGTTTTAGAAATAGTTTGAAAAAATGTTGCGGACGATGTTGTCTGGATGGGCCTGGAAAATTTTCAAACAAACTGGAATGTCTTGGTGTTTTTTTAGTTTTTTTAAAAGCTCTGGTATTTGGTTTTAAAAATAATATTTGAAGATTTTGGGAACTCTGGTGTTTTATTTTAGGAAGTATCTGAAAGAATTTTTGGGATTCTGCCGTTTTGTTTTAGGAAGGAGCCTAAAGGAGCTTTTGGGCCCCTGGTATTTTATTTTTGAAAGATTTTCAAAGAATCTTAGAATTATGGTGTTTTATTTCTAAATGAATTTGTAAGAATCTTGGGAGTCCTGATGTGTTAAAAAAAATGTTAGGTGTTTCTGCTGTTACCATTGTTTAGAGGACCCTAATATTTTATTTTAGAAAGAATTTTATGAAATCTTAGAGATTTTGGTGTTTTTTTTTAGATAAAATCTGATAGTTTGTTGTGTTTTATTTTAGAAAGTATCCGAAAAAAATTTGAGGAATCCTGGTGTTTTCTAAAACAAAACAAAATGGGTCTCCGAGATTCTTTCAAATTTTTTCAAAAACAAAACAAAGAGATCCCCGAGATTGTTTCAAACTACTTTAAAAGTTTAACAAAAGGGGTTTCGGAGATTCTTTCAGACTACTTCAAAAACAAAACGCAGAGAGTTGCCGAAATTCTTTCAAACGATGTACATACTTGAAAAACCAAACACAAGGGGTCCCCGAGATTCTTTTACGTTTAAAAGAAGTCGTTACTTCCAAGAAGAAAACACAAGGAGTCCCCTAGATTCTTTCAAATATCTGAAAAAAGAAGACAAGTGGTCATAAAGATGCTTCATAAACAATACACAGAAAGCTCCCCGAGATTCTTTCAAATTACTCTAAAAACAAGACACCGACACCGACACAGACACCGACACCAAACTCGTAGCTGGAACTCGACATTCTTATTCCGGCGCGTATACGTGTTCTATATTACGACAAGAAAGGAGTTAAAACTCCAAAATTTCGGCCTTTCTGGCGCCGGTCTGGTTCATCTAAAAAATCGCTGCTCCATGATTTTTAAAGACGGAGATTTGAAATTTTGTCCTAATTTTGTTAGTCATCTTTGGATAATTTAAGTAGCTGTAAATTTGCGATCAAAAACCTTGCGTTTGACATTATTTTTTCTCCTTAAATATATGGAGGGTCTACATATTCAGAAAAATAATCAAATGTGACACGGTCTTACGGTTTCCGTTTGTGCCGGAACGTGTTCTAGCCAACTTTCAAAACGAATAAGAAATATGAAAAGGAGCCGTTCGTTAGTACGCCCTCATTATTCACTATCACTGAAGAGAATGATTAAACTTTTAACTTTTCTATTACGCCTTGTTGCTTCCGTCTCGCTCAAATATTCTTTCAAGCATTATTATTGATGAAGCGTAATTTGTCCTTTTCAATTTTTGTTGTTACGGAGCCTTTTATTCAGAACGAAAACTCGATACCGCCGCAATTGTATTCGCAAAGTTAAATTGTTTTCATTTGCTTTTATGACTGTCGATATTTTACTGTTCGTAAAGAAAATTATTTTCCCGTCGAGGAATATTTGTTGCAACCGTTTTAAGCACCGATCATAAAACTCTAAAAAAAAATCTCGTCCCGATTTCTCCCAAATGAAAAAATCGGTTCAATTAACCTTGAATCAACAAAGCGCTTATTACATGATCCGCTACCTAGCCCAGCCGTCGTCCAAATAACCTTGGTTTTTGTTTCAGATGGAGCCCGGATAATTATTAGAAGCCTCGATGATTGGACGCAGCGTGGCCATGCGTGTGTTTTTATTTAAAATTGTTAAACCCGAAGGGGGCACGTGATGAAGAGACCGCACTCAGTGGTAGAATGAACATTTCCAGTGCGTTTCGTTAACAGACTAATTAGTTAACAATGGCGACGTCTTTGACCGGCGTCGGGTTCCTCTGGGCCACGCTTTCTCTGGCTGCAGCGCTTCTGTGCTGCTCCGGGTTTTATCTGCCCTTCTGGATACAGGTAAGGACAATAATTAGTTTAATTGCTTTGAGGGCGCAGCTGAAAACGTCATGTGTCGCGAGAAATACTAGTTTTTGTTCGATTCGACTTTAATTAAAGCGCTGAAAAAGTTGTAAGTTTAATAAGAGGTTTAATATCCTTTGTTCCGTGAATATTGGATGTCGGACTGGGAGTTCATTGTCGGAGCTTCCGAGATGATAATTAGCGAATAACAGGAAAAATGGCGGCAGGCGAGACGGTGCTGGAAAGACAACCTTTGAGGATCGGGTTTTATTGTGGTTTAAAGAGGTGTAAGATTGGTTGAGGCAGCAACAGCAAACTTGAACTTGTAGACCGTTCAGGATGTTCCAGACAACAGTGAGGCATGAAATTTTTTCTTCACTTTGAATTAGTAAAAACATCCTGAACGGTTTGCAGTTTTAATTTTTAACCATTGATTGAAAAATATGTTGATACCATCATCTGAAAAATTGCAACTTCTGCAGCCTCCGGCTATCGCCAAACGTAAACAGAAAAAATAATGGAGCACCAGTGAAAATAAGCATAAAATTAAATTACGCAATATTTATCCTGGAAAAGGCTTATGTAAACAGAGCGAGTAATTTCGCATTTATTTATTTAAACTTAACCAAACAACAAATATCATCACGATCAAAAACTGTACAACGAGACGCTTTTCTTCGTCGGTTATAAATTTGGCGAATCCCAGTAACGCATCCCGATGGACTAACCGACCACCCGACCATATTCCATGCAGCTGGAGCGCTGGGCTCTGACAGGAAATTTAATGTACATCAGCAATAGGGCGAATCGATACGTCACAATACATACCCACCTATTCGCTGACAGAAATCCCTATAAACTAATCGAGAATTATGCCACTGTCGCTGTTCCAGACAGATAAGTGCGCTAATTGCTAATAACGGGATGCTATGAACTCTAATTTCGATCGACATAATTTCGAAACAGGCTTAGTAAGAAGCTTACCCCCTGTACACATAAATGTTTACTATAGCGCAATACGGTAAACTTTCGGATTTAAAGGCCCGGTTACAGTACGACGGAAACACCGAACGTAATTCGAGATTTACGCCAACGCGGGCCCCGGAGGAGAACCGAAGCGAAAATCAATCGACAGTGTATACAGTTACACACTACTTTGAACGTGTGCGATGACGTCATCGATTTTCCGCAGGGCATGAACTCGCTAAAAACACGTCGGAATGCCCAAATTTAAACTTTGACGCAAATGGGGTAAGGAACGCTTTATTGTTGAGGACTGCTTTACATGAGCATTACGTTTGGTAAAGACTGTGTTAATGAAGGATATTTCATAAAGGGCAATACTGTAGGCAACTAAATGGTGAGTTTATTACGGCAATGAAAACGTGTTGGCTGAAACTTGTTGACTGTGTAATGTAGAGGCATTGTTTTGTGGATGATGGACACGATAAAAATTTTCGCGTGATGAATTAAACAACTCCGGGCAGAAGTTTTGATGTAATTTGAGAACAAGAGGTCGTTTTTAGTTGGGAATAGCGAAACATTGAATTTGGGTTTATGTAACAGGATCACCCAGTATTCGATTTGAATGTAGGACGTTTTTCGCCAACCTCTCATCCCTCAGCCCTCGAACCGCTCAACTATTAAAAATTTCCTCCTCAGACATTTCGAGACTCCTCAAGATGCTTAGCGGTGGTGTTTAATAATAGTGCTGAATACGGGATCGGTGGCAGCCGTATGAAAAAGCAAGGACCATTCAGCTGGATTAGCGAGATACTTGTGGACTTTTGCCGACTAAGTAACAACGTGGTCGACATAATAGTTTCCGCACGGAGAGGGTGACAGCCGAGCTGTTTAATTTTAGAAACTTTTAACCCCATTTAAAAACGTACTCGTCAGCGATTTTTCAATAAAAGCAGTCTCATTCGACGAACATCGAGGGCAAATAAAATTAAGAGAACAATGTTAACAAAATAAAGGCCGGGAGAAGAATGGGCGCAATCAATACCTCTGTCCGATAGCCATCTAACGGTTGGAAGTGGGAAACGAGGCCGGCGATTCTTAAAAAATTGTCGAAATTGTGTTTTATTGGGGGGAGTGGAGATGGATCACGAAAGGGCGGCCGTCAAGCGAATGGTTGGAGGGTGAGGAGCGAACTTTTCACGTCTTTATGTGTTTGCTACTTCGTTAACAATTTTCGAAAATGAAGGAGTAGGGCAGGGATCCGTCCTGGCGCTGTGTTGTTCGTAATTTACGTGAGTGATGTGCCGTTTTTTGTAATAGAACATCCCGGTGGTGCTGATTACCGTGCAAATTAATTAGCGTAATCTATCCCGGAAAATCCGCCAAGAAGTCTGTATATAATTAAATTAAGTTAATAGCGGCGGATTTATTTTCATAAAGAGGCGGCCTTAATTGAATTCGTACATAAGGTGCGTGAAGAAGGGAGAAAAATGCCCTCGTTGTGTGTGACATAGAATCTAAAGTGAATAGAGCACGATGAGACGGCATTCCTTTAATAGGACCAACTTTATGTCGATTGCATTCCTTCCCTTAAATTCCGTCATTTCCTCTTCTTTCATTTTCAGCAGAATCATGTCCCATATTCCGAGGGCGTCGCGCGCCCCTCGCTCGCCCCTCGTTTTGTTTATAAATTATTTAAATTAGCGAGAAGAACGGAACGGACCGTCGCTTAAACGAATTAAAAAAACACGAACAAAAAGAACCGAAAAACTTTATTCGGCGAAATTTCGGCGGCACATTTTTGTTGTGACTTTAGGTGGACTATTGTAATTGGATTTCAAACATTCGGGGATTTAATTATAATAGAACAAGAGAAGAATCCTTTGTTTTCATTAAAATGGTGGTCGTGTCGTGGACTGGGGCAAGTTAACTTTGTCATTGTGGGTTAAAGTTGAAGAGTTTCCAATTGCTTGTTTGTAAGCAGGAGTTCCGCTTTAAACAGGCCAGGATCGGACCGGGCCGGCACGAATTACACATTTTTGACCGAACGTACAAACCGTTTTTAGACAAAAGTAAGCCATGACGTTCACTTGAGGCTGATTTGCCACATTTATTGTTATTTAAAAATCATGTTATCAAGTTGTGACAGGTCTGAGTCAAACGGGTTGTCGCTACGACGTCACAACTTTTGTCACCCGTGACGGTGCGTTCCTGGAGCCGGCCCTGCGTCGGCGGTCACTCCGATCCTGCCTCCGGCGACCGCAAGCTTGCGAAAAGGTATAATGAAAACGGCATTTCAACCTGGAGATTGATCATCTCCTCCCCATTGTTGTAAGGTGCATTTACGTAGAGTTGCATGTTAACGATCCAATTGTGTTCCTTTTATTCGGAACGGCGATCTGTTTTAATTAAAGGGGGCATCGTCGACGAAAAACTTCCCCATAATCGAACGGCGAGCAAACATTGGCTCGAGGGAATCAATTTACATTAAATTAAGAGGAACGGAGCGAGTTGGCAGAACAACGGACGATTTAAAGTAGCTATCCGAGAAATCAAAATATCGCATCTACGCATGTTAAGCACGAATCTCTTTACATGTTCTTGAAATATTGCAAGTCTGCCAAGTCGAAGACAATGGAAGCGGCGCCACCGCTCTCTAAAATTTAATCCCATAAGCAAAACGCGGCCTAGACAATGCGTTTGATTCGGGCACGACTCGATTATTATTCTTCCGTTCAAAGGAGTTGCTTATCTCCAGGTTTTTTTGGCGATTGCGTCAGACACGGATCCGCTCCTTTCGACACTCGTTTACCCCCTAACAGTGCTCCTATTTCGCAAACTTGACGTCTCTACGAGAATTACTTAAGACGAATGATCTCCCGAAGGAGGTAATTTTGGAATATATTCAACCCCGAGAATTATGCATGAAAGAAACTGGTTCCAGCTAAGTGGTTTATGTTGGCCGTTACGGGGGAAATGGCTTTGTAAACCCCGAACAAGTTTACATATATTTTTCATTCGCTTCAGTTTAACAAGATGGCGAGGACTTATTACGTAGCCGCATGGCTTTGTTGCTAACAAACTTCACAATTTCGAGGCGAGAACGTATTTGGTTTTTTCATAAAAGTGACGTTTAATAATTTAAAACGGCTTTGAGTGGCGTTTTACGTGGGCCGGTTCAGCTGCTCCGAAGCTGGGTTTTCAGGCAGGTAGGAAGTGGATACGTTTTAGGGCCATCCATCACATTACCATGTCAAAGTTTTGGCGCAAGGACATTGACGAGAAAAGTGTTTTTAATCTTTTACAATCAATAAAAAGTCGCAAAAACGATACATCGTGGCGTAAACGATTTAGGAGAGAACTTGGTTTCAACAAGATGGTGCGCCGCCTCCGTAAAGTTAATTAACACTCCCGCAGACCCTGCACCAATTCCTAAAGGACCCGGTCCGTACAAATGCGGACAATATGAAGTAGGTATATCAGGTGACTACTAATGTGATTTTTTTGTCAGGTTGGCAAAATATTTAACATTTTATGATGGCATATCTGATTTTCGAAATTAAATTTAGGGCACTCATCACGTTTGTAGGTGCGCTTTTGTCAAAGTTGTCAACTGTGAATTGACATGTTAACATTGCTGCCAATAATTCAGAAATACCAACACAAATATTTGCTTCAATCATTAATAGTCACCTGTGTTTAAAACAGATAACCAAGGGGAATAAATGCCCCTCGAAAAATCTAAATAACAAGAAATTAAAAATTGAAAAATTGACGAATCCACAAAAAATCGAAATTTCAAAGATTTTAAAAATTGAAATATTAAAAAGTTGAATTATCGAAATCCGAAAAGTCGAAAGATTGGAGAATCGAAAAGTAAAAAAAAACTAAAATTTAAAAAATCGAAATATTAAAATATGGACAAATTAACAAACCCATAAAACGAAAAGTTGAAAAATTTTGAAAATCGAAAAACCAAGATGTCGAGAAATTGAAAGATCCAAAACTGAAAACTCGAAAAATTGGGAAATCGC